ATACATCCATCATATGAAGTAAGTTCCTCTTTCCTGCTGAAGAACGGTTTCAGGTTTTCTTCTATGTTGTGATTTGGCCATCCACACTGAATATACCCAAGCACTTTTGACAACACAGCGTCAGTACGGGTCCATGCTCTGATATGTTTAACTGTAACGACAGTCGAATTCACTAAATCCATGAGCATGACAGTATCTGCTGGTGCCGGTGTTTTCTCCACGTCTGGCACTCACTCACTGGAAGTCTACTGAGACAATCAGCATTACAGCTGTTGATGCCAGCCTTGAATACCAGTGTATATTCATATGCTGCTAACGTCAACGCCCACCTCTGTATGCATGATGCCGCTAACGTTGGAACTGCCTTGGTCCCTCAAATAGTCCTAACAGTGGTTTATGATCAGTCACTATGGTAAAATGGTGTCCGAACAAGTATTGATGAAATTTCTTCACTGCAAACACTATGGCTAATCCTTCCCTCTCAAGTTGAGAATAATTCTTCTCTGCTGCATTCAAAGTTCTGGAAGCATATCCGATTGGTCTCTCTTCACCAACATCCATACAATGAGTTAGTATGGCCCCAATTCCATACGGTGAAGCATCACATGCCAGTATTAACTCCCTTGAGGAGTCGAAATGTACTAGAATGTCAGCTGAACACAACAATTCCTTGGACTTGTTGAAGGATTTCTGTTGTTCAGGTCCCCATGACCATGTTGATTTCTTCTGTAATAGTTGATGCAATGGTGCTAATATGGTTGAGAGATTCCTCATAAACCTTCCATAGTAGTTAAGCATTCCTAAGTAGTTTTGAGTTCTGTCACTAAAGTTGGCTCTGTAGCATCTTTGATGACGGCGACCTTTTCTGGTACTGGATGATTCCTTCTTTGTCAATTCTGTATCCTAAATATACCACTTCTTGTGTAAGAAAGGTGCACTTCTTGTGTTTGAGTTTCAATCCAGCCTCGGCCAGTCTCTGTAACACCTTGTCTAGTGTAGCCAAATGTTCTTTCCTATTACGTCCCGTGATTAGAATGTCATCAACTCTCACCAACACTCTGGGAAATCCTCGTAATAGCTTTTCGAACCTTTGCACTATCTCTGACGGTGGGGGATTCCGATGCTTCCTCACTGTTTCCACAAGCTCGTTGTATTTCTTGTCTTCTGGCTTCGCCGGAGCAAGTAAATTCCTCATTAAAGAATATATTTTACTACTACAGATACTCAACAATATAGCTTTTTTCTTCTTTTCATCCTCTATCCCATTAGCCTTGAAATAATGTGACAGACACTCCGTGTACTGTGACCAGTTTTGGTCTTCGTTAAAGTCGCTGATAGAACCGAATGTCGCCATATCTGACTGCTCTAGGATACGAAGTTAATCCTCGTCGCCAATTGTAGTGTATCACCTCCTCATGTCACCACACAACATCTTCTTGCTTCACACACTTTTAATCACCCCAAGAGAAAACAGTAGAGGTACATCGCTGGGTTGGAATATGGCCGCCGAGTGACGTCACATAGCACTCGCTTGTATTTATACTCTACCTGAAGTAATCTCTAACCCAACCATGCGGTAAGCCTGTGCACGTGAATAACATGAATAACCTCTATCGAAAGTTTAACAAATCAATACATTACACTGTTACATTAATATGTGTATGTCTGAGCATGTTCTGGCATATCAAGAGGAAATTTGTAGTTCTGGAGTTTAGTAGTGTCACAAGGGCAAGATAGTACCTCCTTTGATTGACATTTTAAAAGTTGGGAAGAATAATACAGACAAACTTTATAGATAACAACACATTTCGTGAGAACGAGGTTTCGTTACAGATTCTTGAACTGTTGTCAAGCAGAATCTGTATCGAAACATTGCATTCATGAAATATAGAAGTTGTTATCCATAAAGTTTGTCTGTATGATAAGATAGTGATTAGAGTATAAAACTTTCAAGTGCCAAGGATGAAATGGTGATCTTAATGTCAAACTCCAAGTACCCAAACGATAAATTCGGTTGTACAACTGAAGGAAGATCAGACATTTCGACTACAAATGATCCTCTTAGAAGATTTCAAATTTAAGCATGTCCCCCTGTGAGCTTAATGCTAAGTTTCTTGATATTACAAACCAGGGATTACAGATGTAAGAGAAGATTGAACGACATTAGTCTCTATTTAAGCTTATTGGAAATCAGGTTCCAAAACCCTCCTTATGTTTGTACAGATGTAACTGGAATCCAGAGCAGTTGAGGGGAACATACAATTAGCAACATTTCTGGAAAGGTGTTCCTATCTCCAAATTGCCTGTCAAGAAGATATTGCATTTGATATCTGACCTTTAGTCAAAAACCTGTGGGTTTTAGTAATACCTTTCTCGACTTGAACGTTTGAACTGTTGATGGATCATTTTGAAGTTCCTCAAATCATTACCATCACATTTTCACCAAGAACAACTTCCAAACATGTGAAGGCCTCTGGTGGCTACATATAGTTTTCGCCTCCATATGTGCTCTTGAGCCTCACAGTTCAAACATAATGATCTCTCTGTGGAAACTTTCGAAAGGATATTGTTTTACTTGCTCTACACTATGTTCAACATGGTGATCTCACTATGGTGAATCTTCAATGGAGATTGCTTTGCTTGCTCTACACAATGATCAACATGGTGATCATCTCTGATTGTTATTTTAGGGCAGGTATTGGCAGAACAAGCAAGAGACAAGTGAAGGAGAACAACCAAACTGAGATGGGGACACTGACACGGAAATGTGCAGAGAGGACACTGACAAGGGGTGAAAGGACAATGAGAGGACACTGACATGGAGTGAAAGGACAAAGAAAGGACACTGACATGGGACACTGAACATGGGGTGACATGGAGGACAATGAGAGGACACTGACATGGGGTGAGAGGACAATGAGAGGACACTGACATGGACACTGACATGGGTGAAAGGACAATGAGAGGACACTGACATGGGGTGAAAGGACAATGAGAGGACACTGACATGGGGTGAAGAGAGGACAATGAGAAAGGACACTGACATGAGGAGGACACTGACATGGGGTGAGAGGACAATGAGAGGACACTGACATGGGGGGATGAGAGGACAATGAGAGGACACTGACATGGGGGAAGGACAATGACACATGAGAGGGACACTGACATGGGGTGAGAAGGACAATGAGAGGACACTGACATGGGGTGAGAGGACAATGAGAGGACACTGACATGGGGTGAGAGGACAATGAGAGGACACTGACATGGTGAGGAGAGGGGTGAAAGGACAATGAGAGGACACTGACATGGGGAGAAGGACATGAGAGGACAATGAGAGGGACACTGACAATGAGAGGGATGAAAGGACAATGAGAGGACACTGACAAGGGACGAAAGGACAATGAGAGGACACTGACAAGGGATGAAAGGACAATGAGAGGACACTGACATGGGTTGAAAGGACAATGAGAGGACACTGACAAGGGATGAAAGGACAATGAGAGGACACTGACAAGGGACTAAAGGACAATGAGAGGACACTGACATGGGGTGAAATGACATTGAGAGGACACTGGGAGGACACAGAAGATTGAGAGGGCTGTTTTAGAGACACAGAGAGAAAAGAACATTAACTCAGGCAGGAAGATGAATAACGTTAGGATAAAAAACAAAGACATGCAGAAAGAGAACACATACATAGGGAAAGAGGACATATATATGAAGGTGGGAGGACACAAACTTGAGGGGGAATAACAAAAAAACAGACAGGGACACATAAATACGGAGGGAGAACGCACACAGCGAAGCAGGACTCATACATCAGGGGGAATAACACAAACACAGAGAGGGACACACACATAAGGAGGGAGCACACACACATAAGTACGGAGGACACATGTGGGGATGGAGGACACATACATAAGGACTGACTGACTGAGTTTAGTTTTACGCCGCTTTTAGCAATATTCCAGCAATATCACGGCAGGGGACACCAGAAATGGGCTTAACACATTGTGCCCATGTGGGGAAACGAACCCGGGTCTTCGGCGGGGTTGACGAGCCAACGCTTTAACCACTAGGCTACCCCACCGCCCCCATACATAAGGAGGGAGCACACACACATAAGGAGGGAGGACACGTGTGGGGATGGAGGACACATACATAAGGAGGGAGGACACACACATAAGGAGGGAGGACACATGTGGGGATGGAGGACACATACATAAGGAGAGAACACACACACATAAGGAGGGAACACACACACATAAGGAGGGAGCACACACACATAAGGAGGGAGGACACATGTGGTGATGGAGGACACATACATAAGGAGAGAACACACACACATAAGGAGGGAACACACACACATAAGGAGGGAGCACACACACATAAGGAGGGAGGACACATGTGGGGATGGAAGACACATACATAAGGAGGGAGCACACACATATGAGGAGGGAGGACACATGTGGGGATGGAGGACACATACATAAGGAGGGAGCACACACACATAAGGATGGAAGACACACACAGGGAGGGAGAACACATTGATAAGGAGCATGTTACCTCTAATGGTCACTAAGAAGTAATGTTATGAGCAATCTAGTAAACTATACAGCGACAGCTTTAACTTGATATCGCTAGACTAAAACCGGGATGTGCCATGTCCTAATGGACAAAGATAAATTTTACTTTACAGCTACAGTTCAGTTCCAAATGCAGTCAGGTGCAGGCTTGAGTTATGTGATGTGACAGAAGGTGGAGGCTTTACTTGAGTGACAATATTTCAGACACTCAGTCAAGCAGGTTCAGCAAACAAACCCTAATACTAATCACATAGTAACACTGGTGGGTGTCATGGTAACACTGATTGGTGTCATGGTAACACCAGGGAGTGTTAGACGGGAAGAGTGTGCAGAGTGCAAAGGACAGAAATTAGTCATTAAGCTGGAAGGGAGACAGATCTTTATGGAAAGAATGCAGTAACATGTCATCTTTACCCTCCTCATTTTGTGGTTCTGTAAAATAAATGATTAATTGTTTATCAAAAGAACATTTTCCTTTGGAGACATTTTAAAAACTATTGAAAGTAGGTACTCCTGTAAACAAGGGCAGCACATTCTCCACAGATCTATGACAATGAATTATGTGCTGAGGAAATGTCCCATTTGAAGGAGGTAGTGGACTGCAAGTTGTCAGAAGGAAGCACAGTAACACACTTTTGTGATGCAAACACTAATGAGTGTAGTACAGCATTAATACCTCTCAAAGCTGTAGGTTATACGTTGTATGCCTTGAACATTATTATACTGAAACCCCTTCCCTCCTGGTGATCTCAGTTCATTATTGCCTAAAGTGTGGAACCCTTGAAGATATGGGTTAGAATTGATCTTCAGAACCCATGATTGTCGTAAGAGGTGACTTACGGGATTGGGTGGTCAGGCTCGCTGACTTGGTTGACACATGTTAAACGTGAGGCAATTGTATAAATCAATGTTCATGCAGTTGATCACTGGATTGTCTGATCCAGATTTGATTATTTACAGACTGCCGCTATATAGTTGGAATATTGCTGAGTGCGGCTTAAAACTAAACACGATGATCTTGGCTCTAACGTTCCTTTGTGGAAAAGGTCTTGACTCCTACTGTGTCTCTATACTATGTATATACTCTATGTGCAGATAAACCACATTGTGTGCGTACTCATGCACCAGGGTGCCACTCTTGATACACACAACACTTGATAGACACAAGTACATTCCAGTCATTAAAATGGTGAAGGAATCCTACCTCTCTCCCATCTTGGAGAATCTCCTGAAAAAAAGAGTGATACATGATTAGAGAATGTAAGAAAGTTCATCAGCTGATCACTGTCCAGTCACAATCAATATCAGACCATAACAAATTAATCACTTCTTGAATTCTTCTTCCTGTAGATAGTATATTATATTTGAAATTTGTTTTGTCCAATAAACATGGAAACCTTTTGCCGAATCAGTGATGGTTAATCACCCCCAATCCCCACCCTTGGGCCTCAATGCTTGGGTTATTCATTTTGTGTTGGAGAAGCATAGAGCGTGTTCTTAATAATAAATTAATTAATCACTGAAAAAATATTCCCCTACCCAGAAAAAAGCGCTATTAATTCCAAAGAAGAGGCAGACAGTTTTCTGCTTTGATGTTGTAGATCATTATGTCCAAATACAATAACATTTATCATTTCATTAATGCTGGCTTCAATGAACATTTCAAACATTAAGCTGCTTGTAGTTGATGTACACACCTATCGCCTGAGTATGCTTCCATTATTCAAATACAGTCAATGCAATACTCACCAAATAACACAGTAACTCTTTTACTATCAATCTCATCAGAAGAACTCCTGCATATATAAGTTCCAGAATCTCGGAGCGTGCTTCGGTCAATTATGAGTTCACTGACCATAGAACGGTCATGCAAAGACCGATACTTTGTGATTAAAATATTCCTGTACTTTTTAGTGTCAATTTTGTCTCCATCTTTGAACCAGTCTATTTCCTCTGGAATGTGTGGTCCACCTGTAGCATTACAGACAAGCCTGATGTCTTCCCCTGTCTCAACATACTCCTTTCCGATAATGGAAATATCTGTAACAGAATCATTACAAAATAACTCATCTGTAACAATCATTGCAAAATAACTCCTGTTACAGAAACTTTACAAAATAACTCCTGTTACAGAAACATTACAAAACAACTCCTGTAACAGAAACCTTACAAAATAACTCCCATTACAGAAATATTACAAAATAACTCCTGTTACGGAAACATTACAAAATAATTCCTGTTACAGAAACATTACAAAATAACTCCTGTTACAGAAACATTACAAAATAATTCCTGTTACAGAAACTTTACAAAATAACTCCTGTTACAGAAACATTACAAAATAATTCCTGTTACAGAAATATTACAAAATAACTCCTGTTACAGAAACATTACAAAATAATTCCTGTTACAGAAACCTTACACAATAACTCCCATTACAGAAATATTACAAAATAACTCCTGTTACAGAAACATTACAAAATAATTCCTGTTACAGAAACATTACAAAATAACTCCTGTTACAGAAACATTACAAAATAATTCCTGTTACAGAAACATTACAAAATAATTCCTGTTACTGAAACATTACAAAATAACTCCCATTACAGAAATATTACAAAATAACTCCTGTTACAGAAAAATTTCAAAATAATTCCTGTTACAGAAATGTTACAAAATAATTCCTGTTACAGAAACATTACAAAATAACTCCTGTAACAGAAAACCTTACACAATAACTCCCATTACAGAAATATTACAAAATAACTCCTGTTACAGAAACATTACAAAATAACTCCCATTACAGAAACATTACAAAATAACTCCTTTAACAGAAACATTAAAAAGTAACTCCTGTAACAGAAATATTACAAAATAACTCCTTTGACAGAAACATTACAAAATAACTCTTTTGACAGAAACATTACAAAATAACTCCTGTTACAGAAACATTACAAAATAACTCCTTTTACAGAAACATTACAAAATAACTCCTTTTACAGAAACATTAAAAAGTAACTCCTGTTACAGAAATATTAAAAAATAACTCTGATAACTTCTCAGATCCTTAACAACGCAGTAGAAGTCACAAAGTTCATGTTCCCCAAAAGGAATCCTGTCCACGTTTCAACTCAATATCCAGAAGTCATCAGAGAGAAACACCACATATGTCCACCAAAACACGAAAAGACCACAATGCATAAGTTCCAAGAGCTGAATCTCAAAACAACAAATGGCCACCCCAGTCCAGGAAGAATACCAGCCAGATTAGGTCCATAATTGTAGTCAACCTGAGCAGCACTACCGTGAAACACTCCAACTACATCCACCATGAGGAAACCAGATGAATATATCAATGGCATAGAAAATGGACTCCAACAACTAGTGTTGAATGGCAACACAGACCATCTCAGACAACAGATAATCTTTACATTGAAGAAACCCACCAACATGGATAACAACCTCACCCATGATGAAACAAGAGTGATAGCAGATTTAAAGCATGATGGGACTTTCACAATCACAGATGCTGATAAGGGGAAAGCTGCTGTCATTACGAATACAGATAAATTCATGCAACTGGTCAATAAATCCATAGAAGACCTCATCACCTACAAAATCCACAGCTAAATGAGAAAGACAGCTTAAGAAAACCTTAAAAACCTCCACACTTACAGATAAATAAATGACACTGTATTCAACAAACTGAACCCAATAAACTTTCAGCCCTCTTACGCCAGAGCTTCCGTCACATCCAGTCAAACTCAGAATACTGGTATACTCCTAAGGCTCAGTTTTCAACAATACAGCCCAGCATCTTGCCAAACTACCAGCACCATTGGGAATAGAAGGAATATCTTATATCAGTGAGTATCTTTGTGAGCAAACTTAGCTAAGCTCATTGGCTGCATGGTCAGCTATGATGTAGTAGACCTCTTCACCAACAAACCGCTGCAGGAAGCATATCAGCTTTGTCCAGTTGGACACATCCCTCACCATAGACAGCATCACATATACATGGACGACAACTTCTTCTTTATTGTATAACACAACCTTTCTGGGTTACTTCTCTTGAGGTGATCTATGTCAGCACATTGTAGGACAGGGTCATAGATGTATTTGTCTCTTCTTGTTAGAGTTGATAATATGGCGTGTTTAATCTGGGGGTGGTGGTTGGACAGGTAGTGAATGTATTGGTCGGTGTGAGTTGGCTTTCTGTAGACAGATGTATGATCTTGTCAGGCGAGTTATGGAAAGAAACATTGAGGAAAAGCAAGGTGTTCGGTATCCATGGTAAATTGGTCCTGTTGGTTCATCCAACTGTGACCCCGTTCAACTCAAGAGAACTTTCATCACCCTCAACGGCTATCCCAAACACCTTGTAGAGCAGACCATAGCTAAAACTCTCAATCAGCAAAACCAACACCCACCAAAGAATGAACCATCGCCAATCAGGATCAGCATCCCCTACCAAGGCCATATTAGTCATTACATCAGTCCACTTCTCATAAAAACTCCAAGCATCGACAGACATTTATTCAGACGAAACTTTGAAGACCATCCTAAAAGCAAATGGATGAGGTACCAGCAATCAGACTACGCACAACCCCCATGGCTGCATATACCAACTAAACTGCCACTGTGGCAGTTGCTATATTGGAGAGACATCACGCCCTTTGATATAAGACTCAAAGAACACAAAACATCTGTTGAAAAAGACGACCACAAATCTGCCCATGCACAGCATATAATTAACAACCCTACCCACTCCATTGACTGGCAACAAACTAGCATCTTGTCTACCAAAGTTCACGATTGGTGAAAACAGAAAAGACTAGAAGCCATCAACATCAGGAGATTAACCCCAGAGATTAATAGAGATGACGGTATATACTTCCCTAGTGCCTGGAACTTCACAAAATCCACACCACACTCACCTCTATTGTCACTTAATTAGCTGTATATCACTCTGCTGTGTTCACATCTCCTTATCCTGATTGTTTGTGTCAACTGGCTTTACCTTCAGATGCTTGATGGGCATTTAGAAGTTGGAAGGTAACATAACAACGTATGGTATGGATTTACAGCTTTAATATTTACAACACTTTTCTGGGCTACTTCTTTTCCCTTCATCAGGTGAAAACAAATTATTTGGAGTTCAAGTGATCAAACAGTCAGTGTTGTAATCAATATACATATTGTTACTTACCAGGATCTGTGATTGGAGGACCTGAAACAGCAGGAAAACAATCTTACTGGTGGAAAAGAGGATACATCTCATGCATCCAAACCAATATTTACTATAAGGAAAATGTTACTGTGACACATATATAGAGATTATTACACAAGCAAGTGTGTCATATGACTTGTGTGAAATTTTGTATTGCCTGAGCGAGAGCGAGGGCAATACACAATTTTGCACGAGTTTCAAATAAGTCATGTGGTATACTTGCGAGTGTAATAAATTCTTTATTATCCATTTTATTCATGTACATTTGTGCAGTAAAACACGGTAAGCAAGTGTGACAGCCCTGTTCATTGGCATCAAGTTCAATTTTTTAATGACATCACAGATGATGATATACAGAAACAATGGTTGCTAGGCAAAAGTGATATGTGCACACGTGCAGGCATGCAGGCCTGGCACCTTTGTCTCATGGTGGCCACTAAGCATTGATGCAGGCCTGGCACCTTTGTCTCATGGTGGCCACTAAGCATCGATACAGGCCTAGCACCTTTGCCTCATGGTGGCCATTAAGCATCGTAGAGGCCTGGCATCTTTGTCTCATTGGCCACTAAGCATCGTAGGGGCCTTGCACCTTTGTCTCATGGTGGCCACTATGCATCTATCCAGGCCTGGCACCTTTGTCTCATGGAGGCCACTTAGCATTAAGGTCGCGTGTTTGACCGTGTCAGAATTCTTCCACCATGCAAGGTCCTTGAATACCAGATCTAGGAAGGTACCGAGTCCCTTGTCGCGGGTTGATCAAATTCTGATTGAATTTTAGATGCTTTCAACCTCAAGGTCCTGCATAGATTTAGGAGCTCCTACTATTGACATCCATTGCATGAGTGTGTGAACTGACATATCCTGGCCCCGATTCCGGGCTCCTGATGTTCCAGCAGGTGTTATAAACACCTTTATGTGAGTTGAACATGGCCCCTCTCTATTTCTGTATTTTCTTGGGTTGAAGCTCTCATGTAACAGAATGCCTAATTCCCGAAGGAATCTTGCATATATGGGGAGTCGTCTGGAGAGGTGTCTGCATTGGCATTTGGAGACAGCATTTGGTCCAGATAACCCTTAAGTGTTGTCGATGGAGATACACTAGTATGGGAGCCTGTTATAATCATGAAGCCACTGATGTTTGGTAGGACTGTGAACTGGAATATTCTTCTGTTAACAGCAAATCGAGACTGTCTAAATTCTGTATGGACTCCCTCCAAAATTGTGGTGGTCATCTTAGATATTTCTGGTTGAGGATCACAAGATTAAAAATCATTCTGAGGCCTGTTGAATCCTTTTTGGGGACCAGGAATACCAAAGAGAAGAACCCTAGCACAGAGTGCAAAAGATTCAAACTGAAGACAGCTTTCCTGTCCATGAGCTGTTCTATCGTTGTCATTGACGCTGAAAACATGGGATTCAGGAGCTGATAGCAACGAACTATTGGATGTGTCATCAAAGGAGGTCTCTTACTAAGCAAACTGAAGAACAATATCCCTCATTGAGGATCACTGTCAGTCATTATGATCTTCCAGTTCTCTACAGAAGCTGACAAATGGCTGCAACTGGACCCTGTAATACCATCGCAGGGAATGATGGTATCTGTTTCTGATAATCGTCGTGAAGACTCCTTGCTTTAACTGTCTAGGAAATATATTATTCAACTGGATTTAGGTCCAGGCTTGCCATCTTTCCTGGCTGGGAAAACTCATATCCTCCAAATGGATTCATGGGCTTGCACTTGCTGTGCTGATGGAGACTGACACCCAAGAACTTCTTTTGTGGGCCCACGTGGCCTATTTCCTGCAGGGACCCTGATGATAGGGCTTGCTTTGCAAGAATGAAAATGAACTCTGTGTAACTTCCTAGCTTCCTCCAACTTTAAGACCTCCTATGCTTCTTCACACTTTCCATTGAATAGCTGATTATCACGTTGTAAATATAACATATTCTGCATCTCAGGGGATACAGATGAACCCGTCTTAATAAGGCAAAGTGGGCTACCTGGTTGGCTGGTAAAGCTTTAGAGTCAAACACTCCTTTAACCATACAACTAGACAGCCATGAAGTATCTGTGTCGTATCTGCAGTGATCTCCAATTTATCAGATGATGGGTTGTCTGCTGCATCTGCTTCAGAAGGAAAAGGGAGCATCTTCCTTAAATCTGGGATGAAACAAAAGTTTGATTTTGATTTAAACATATTTATTCAAGAGAATGGATTGGGTACAAGTTATGCCAACTTAGTGAAAGTTGAGGCCCTGGATGTAGTTGATCAACTGCACTGACGCATCAAAGTCTCTAATTCATCTCAGATAGTGAGGTGCTCCACCATCTTGACCACAAATCCTAGAAACGCCTTTTCAAGGGAAGACTTTTTTGTCTGGCACATTAAAGTCACCATATAGCTGGATTATTGCTGAGTGTGTTGTGAGTTAAACAACAACCCAATCAATCAATCTTTTTAGTCTGTCATTGGCAACATGTATTCCAGAAATAAAACATCAAGGGCAGCAAACTTATCAGCAAAGGTGTATGTGGTCAAGTTGTGTGCTGAAGGTTCCATAGACAACACTAAAAATGCCAGTACCGGTATCTTGAAGCCCTTGCACACCATGCTCCTCGAGCTGCAATCACCTTGAAGCCTGTGCATACCATGCTCGAGCTGCAATCACCTTGAAGCCCATGCATACCATGCTCCTCGAGCTGCAGTCATAAGCTGGCTGATCTCTATGATGACTGTATTCCCTATGATCCTAAAGGTTCATACAGCTCCTGTGACCCTTGCTGTATGTGCTGCCCCTGCAGGTTGTGCTGTTCGTGTTGCTAGCTGTAATGTGCTGCTCCATACCTGGTTCAGTAGACCTTCTGCAGTCAGTATGGCCTTTGCTGTCTGTGTGTCCATGTGGACCATGACTTGCTCTTGAGTCTTCTGTCTTTTCAGCAAAAGCGGACATTTTGTTAGTTCTCAAAACAGCTTAGTGCAGCAGACCAAACCTCTACTTTGGTTGTAGAGCAGAGGCAGACAGATGAGGTGACAGGGTCAGACAGTACAGGTAGGATGCCCAGCTCATTGAGCATCCATGCAGGAGCATTTGGACACAGTATCTTAGCTGATTTCTTCTCCTGGCCTTTCTTTATACCAACATATACCTCTCAAAAACTGTTAGTGAAGGTTTTTGGAAGAGATCACATGGAAAGGCAAGTGAACATGGTGTAGTATCACATTCACAGCAGTGACAGTGGGAATCTTGTGGAGACATTAATTTACCAAAATATTAACAATTTTTGGTACCCAATGGGAAGGCGGAGATATACTTGCTGCCCTTAGATTTACCCATATTACAATATCAAAATTGAAAAGCCAAAGCCAGAGGAAAAGACTTATTCAAGTTAAACCTGTCTATCAGAAACAAGTTTCAGGAAATAAAGTTGGAGGGGCGTATCTGTAATGATTTATTTACATTAACAGCTTGCATAAAACAAACAAGTATTGCAGTGCATATTTCTCACCAAATACATTCAGTTGCACTTTCCTTCACAACTTCTCTGGCGTTGTGATCTGGCACTCATACATCCCTGCATGGATAGGCTGGACGTTCTTTATCATGAGGTTCCAGTCAGACACCTCCTCACTTTTCTCAATGTTGTCCACAGTTATGCTACGATCCTTCACCCATGTCATTGTCCCAATTGTTGTCATGTGATCCTTGTCAACGCGTTTCCAGCCCACCTGTGTTGAGAGACATTAGAATATCACAAAACCGAAAGTTTCACAGATAATTGGTTGATAAAATACCTACCGCAATGACATAAAAGTTGTGTGTCTCAAGTAATGATCACCAAGAGATTCAGGGGATTGGATTGCACTAAAGATTCATTGTAATTTGTTTGATGGTTCATACATCATAGTAATGACACAAAAGAATTTATAGTAATGGTACAAAATAGATGCAGGGTAATGGCACTGATTGCTTCATGGTGAGTGAGTGAATGAGTTTAGTTTTACGCCGCACTCAGCAATATTCCAGCTATATGGCAGTGGTCTGTAAATAATCGAGTCTGGACCAGACAATCCAGTGATCAACAACATGAGCATCGATCTGCGCAACTGGGAACCGATGACAAGTCAGTGAGCCTGACCACCCGTTCCAGTTAGTTGCCTCTTACGACAAGCATGGGCTACTGAAGATCAGCACAGGTTGCTTCATGGTGTCATCAATTTAGTTGTAATGGTAAAATCATTTAAATATTCATTGTAATGGCACAACAGATTTATGATAATGGCACCTATAGACTCATGGTGAGTGATATATATATATATATATTAATATGTATATATACATATATATGTCACCAGTCTAGTCAGGGTAATGGTACTTAATGATTCAGTGTGTACTTTGCAGTATTTTCTGTTGTTCTACCAGCAAGTAGCAAATACCAGTCTAGTACATCCTAGTTTGTAATATCAGTGAGTCTATGTTTTATCTTGTTTGATGTAGTCCACACAAAGTATGCAACAAAACAGTTGTGTCCTTCATCACAGTCGATTTTCCAATCCAATTCTTTCTGCTTCTATTTGCAGAAAGTGCCCTCAAATAGGCACCTTTATATCAACCAATTTCTGTCAACATGCAATAGAAAGAATACCACACAAATATTCCCTTTGTATGGTTGCAAACAATAGTGCCTATCAATATATTCTCATGTGACATCTGTGGTTTTGTAACATTTGGCAATATTGTTTAGTGGGATAGTGTATCTGTATCAAACTCTGTGGACCAGGTGTATTGGCATCTAATATTTCTTGTAGAACAATCTAATATTTCTTGTGCTTGTAGAACATGAATGGGATTCTGGACAATTTCTGTATTGTCTTTTGACACAAATGTTTTTGTTGTTCTACAGAAATTTCCAGAGGGCAACAGAGTAGATTCCCTTCCTGAAATGGAAACCAGAATATCTTTAATCTCCATTTGTCAGGCCAACCTGTTTTGAATTGTTTTTAATGAGCATCTATGGCTCTTTCCATACCCTTTGTTGCCCATATATTTTTCATAGTACAGCGGTTTCTGAGCATAACCATTCTGTATTGAATTCCACTTTCAACTAGTACGATGAAACCCAAATATATATCAGGCATTTCCAACCAAACCAGATATTCCTCTCACCTTTTTGTACCATATATAGAAATAGAAACTGTCGGACAATGCAGACCATTCTTTCTTTTTCTCCACAAGTGTAGACAGCCTGTGTGGATATTTGTATACCAGATATTCCATGTGGTCTTGTGTACACATACCAGGCTACATATATGTTTGTGTCCCTGGATGATCTGCAAGAACTAGACATCTACTGAGATGCACAGCGAGGTTTGGCCATTGTCCATGTGGTGGTTGTACAATGAATGTTTGATTTTCTGGAGACACAAGTTTCAGCGCACCTTACAGAACCTCTAATACTGTTTTCTTCATCAAAGTTGAGCCTCTGTTTCTATTCTAGCGCATCCTCTGGTTTGCACATCAGAATGTAGAAATGTTTTCTGAAGATGTTTGTGTGGGCAGTCCACATAGTCTGCTAGATGTTCACCATATCCATAACGTGCTGTTCCTGCTTCAAAGTTGGATACTATTTTGTTGCAGAGTTTTTCTTCGCGCGCGATACACCCATTGACACTAGATATTCAAGTACAATTCTATTTGCCTATTGAATCTGTGTTGTCCAGAATCTTTGTTTTTGTGTAGGTACTCCACCAAAATGTCCCTATCCATCACACCGGAAAAGTTGTGGGGGTTATCTCCCATTTGACAGACACCCATTTGGCAGACACCCAATTGGCAGACACTGAACTAGAAGGTTAATTAGGGTAACGTCTACGGGTATAATGGAACAGTCCACTGTCCAGTGAGTAGAGCAGGGTGAGCCTGAAGCAGGCTTGTTACTGAGAAGTTTGATTGTGGGTAAATAGAACTTTGTTGTGATTAAATGATAAATGATATCTCTTCTCAAAATTAATTTTACTTTCAATTACTATCTAATATAAAAACAGGTTTGTCACTTAGAGGTTTGATTGCGTTTATTGATAATAAAGCCCCCCTCCCAATAATAGCATATGTACAACAGAAGTTAATTGAGAAAACGTTTTGTTGGAGAGATATAGATATGTACATATTTGAAAACATTCTGATTTGCAGTAAATGAGAGACCTGCATTGCCATGTAAGATACGATTAATACCAATCAGCGTTCTAATTTTAACAATACTTTCTAAAGATTGTAACAGTTTATGTTTTTGAGTAGTATACAATGGACATTCAAGGAAGTAATGAAAAACGTTCACACATCCATGGCCACATTGACATGATGCGTCATATTTTTAAATACATGAATGTATTCTAAATAAATCGTAATTAAGTGCACTCGTCATATATCTTAATATTGTGTGCAAAACATATAACTTCTTTATTCCATAAATAAATATGTAATTTTTAGAGTAAAATTGATATTTTATACTTATCCTGACTCATGCTCTTTTTGCTTGTCTTCTTCTTCTTGCGAACATAGTGGAACACTTGTATCTCCCTAATTGAAGCTCCCTTCAATGTAAAATCACTAATTAGTACTCACCACGAGTTACCTCCCTTCCACAAGCTCGGGAACGAGGGCGCCACCTCCACCCATGTGCCTCACTCTCTCCTCATATACTGAGCCCAACATTTGAATTTACAGGGAAATCCAAAGTGTTATGTGGGGAGGATGGGAGGGAGCATATTTCATGAGTCAGGATAAGTATAAAATATCAATTTTACTCTAAAAATTACATATTTTCCTTATCCTGACTCATGCTCTTTTGCTTGTAGAACCTACGGAAAAGGAGGTGGGAATATATAATACTTTGGATTTTAATAATTAGTGATTTGAACTGTGATGATTGTAATAACCCTATGGGAACTTCATAAAGGCACTGAACTGATGAATTCCTGCTGCTAACTTATCAGCTGCCATATAAAGGTTATTACAATGTACTTATTATGATAAAGTATATATAACATTAATACAATGCTTAAGACTAATAGACTTAAGCTTGTTAATATGCTAGTATAAACTCCTTAGAGTTTGTTAGCTAAAATACTTTAAGATATAAACATAGTACTAAGCTTAAGATATGATTAAACTTAAGCTAATTATATAATAGCAAAACTCTTTAGAGTTTGTTAGCTAATATACTTATATGATATAGACATAGTGCTGAGCTTAAGATATGAATAAGCTTTAGCTACATATATAATAGCAAAACTCTGTAGAGTTTGTTAGCTAATATATTTTTACAATATGAGTATAGTACTGTGCTTAAGATATAATTAACTTAAGCTACATATACAATAGCCAAAAACTCTGTAGAGTTTATTAGCTAATAGATTTATAATGTAACCATAGTACTAAGCTTAAGATATGATTAGACTTAAGCTAAATGTATATAGCAAAAAAACTCCTTAGAGTTTATTAACTAATATACTTTTATGTTATAAACATAGTACTGAGCTTAAGATATGATTAAACTTAAGCTATATATATAATAGCAAAACTCCGTAGAGTTTGTTAGCTAATACATTTTATAATGTAACCATACTGCTTAAGATATGATGAAACTTAAGCTAATTATATAATAGCAAAAAACCCTTTAGAGTTTGTTAGCTAAAATACTTATATGATATAAACCTAGTATTGAGCTTAAGATATGAAGGAAAACCTTAAGCTAAATATATAATAGCAAAAAACCTTTTAGAGTTTTGTTAGCTAATATACTTATATGATATAAACATAGTATTGAGCTTAAGATATGAAGGAAACCTTAAGCTACATATATAATAGCAAAAACTCCGTAGAGTTTGTTAGCTAATACATGTTATAATGTAACCATAAAGCTTAAAATATGATGAAACTTAAGCCAAATATATAATAGCAAAAACTCTTTTAGAGTTTGTTAGCTAATATACCTATATGATATAAACATAGTACTGCTTTAAGATATGAATAAGCTTAAGTTACATATATAATAGCAAAACTCCGTGAGAGTTTGTTAGCTAATACATGTTATAATGTAACCATAATGCTTAAGATATGATGAAACTTAAGCCAAATATATAATAGCAAAAAACTCTTTAGAGTTTGTTAGCTAATATACTTATATGATATAAACATAGTACTGAGCTTAAGATATGAATAAGCTTAAGCTACCTATATAATAGCAAAAACTCCGTAGAGTTTGTTAGCTAATATATTTTTACAATATGAGTATAGTACTATGCTTAAGATATAATTAACTTAAGCTACGTATATAATAGCCAAAAACTCTGTAGAGTTTGTTAGCTAATGCATTTATAATGTAACCATAGTACTACGCTTAAGATATGATTAACTTAAGGTAAATATATAATAACAAACTCTGTAGAGTTGTTAACTTATATATTGTATGATGTAATAATCATAGTACTGTGATGATAAAAAAGAACTTAAGCAAATTATATATAGCATGTAGCTATTTAGTACTGTTATAAGATAAGTAGAAATCTGTAAGATTGACTTATCTTCTCCGAGGAACTGTCAACTGTTGTGCGAGGACCATGGGACCGAATTGGTGGATACCTGAGACGTCCTCGGTGGTGATATCTCTCAGATAATGGTTGGCAACCACCATATCGGATCTCCAGAAATAAACCCTCCATTATTTCAA